TCCCACAGGAAACAGAGTCCCCCACGTGACGGCACCGTGCTGCTGAAAGGGCCCCTTACAGGGCTGTGGGAGGGGCAGGAGACTGAAGCCCACAAAGACTGGCCACAGAGGAGAAGTTACCAGCCTTGGGCAGGGACAGTGTGCCCGAGTCTGTACGAGCTGCAGCTGTGACAATGAACCTCGGAGCCGCGGTCACGGACAGAAGGATGAAGCCACTGCCAGAGAAGTGGCTCAAGACAGAGGGGGAGCCACGGGGGGGGGGGGGGGGGGGCGGGAATCATCAGCACAGAGAGTGACTGTCAGCTGTTCTTCAAGCCCACCCGAGACTGCCCAGGACTCTGAGCCCTCTCATTGTCTCCAACAATTAGCAAGTGTTGGAAAGGTGTTAAGGACACATTAGCATCCAATAGAGACTCTTGATTGAGGTGTTAATAACTTAAAAATTAATGGAAAAGTGAGTAGCTTTTTCACTTTTTGATTTAGACAATTTAATGGTGTGGTTTAACGCACTTAACACCACATGGGTAGCACCTCCTCCCAGCGTTGCCCACCTGGGGACACCTGTTCACCCGCCCACCTTAGGCATTGGCTGAGGGCTGCTCCTGGGGGTGGGAGGCAGGGAGGTGTCTATCCAGCCTGCTGCAAAGGTGAGCGCAGCTGGGGGGTGGGCTCTGGAGACCTGGGCAGGCCCCCCCGGCAGAGGGGTGCCCGGACTGACTGACAGGTGACGGTGCGCTGTGGGCAGGGACGGTGGGACACCCGCGGTGTCACTAGGCTCTCACAGCCCCGCCCCCAGGCGACTGAGCCCCATGGATCTCACTTCCCACTCCTCTGGCCTTTGCTCCACGCGCTTTACGTCACCCACCCCCACCCCCAGCTGCCGTCTGCTGGGCAGTCCCAGCAAATGTTCAGTGACTGCCTGTGCCCTGCTGGTGCCCCTGCATCTCTGTCTGGGCTTCAGCGGCCCCCTGGACGTCCCGAGTGGACGTAGACTCTGCACGTCCAGAAGCGGCCTCATCATCTTCATGCCTTAGCATCTTCGCATTCTCAGTGATGAACGTGCCCATCCGCTCAGTCGCCCAAGCTGGGAACATGGCCCCGCTCTGGACTCCTACCTCTCCTTTGTCACCACATCCGTGGGTCGGCAGCCCACTGAGCCCACCCCTCAGGAGTTAGCAAGTTCCCCACTTGCCCCCACTCTCATTGCCACCACCCAGGCCACCACCGTCTTTCACATGGAGTGCAGCAAGACCCTCTGCCCGGGCTCCCCACCCACACGCCCTTCCAGAGCAAACCCCAGCACGAGGCTCCCTCACGGAGGCCTTCCCTGGACGGCACCTGTCTCGGTGGCACGGGTCCAGCCCACCTCCCCAGCCTGGCTCTCCGTGTCCTCAAGACCCACCTGCTCTTCCCTGTGGCCTCCTCCCCACCACGCCTGGTGGCCAGCTGGGCTCCGGTTACTGAGAACTGAAGCCCTGTTCCCCGGTTTCCTGCTCGGTGGCCACCCTCTTGCAGAAAACCCGGTTCCCGGGTTTGGAATGCCAGAGAGTGTACAGATGAGACCGCGGCTGGGGAACACTGCGCCCTCCCCGATGGGCCCCTGAGACCAGCCCAGGCCTGGAGAATGCGGGTTAGGAAGTGGCCACTCCATCCTGCCAGCTTCCCTCTCTCCCCGAGATGGTTCTCGGAGTCAGAAAGGCCTGGGTTTGAATCCAGTACACTACTGAGCTGTGTAGACTGGTTGTTTAATCTCCTGAACCTAACTTTGCTCACCTGTGAAATGGGTGCTACGTTGATGCCTTGCAAGGCAAGTTAGAAGGACTGGGGAGATAATGCCTGTGAATGTCAGTGGCTGAGGTCTGACTCCCCGGAGGCAGACCCTGAGAGGAGGATTTGGGCAGGTCTTTTGTGAAGGAAATGCCCAGGGGAGAGTGGTAAGGCAACTGGAAAGCAAGACAGGGAAGGGAGGCAGGCAAGGAAGGGGACAATGTCAGGCCAGGGCCCAGGGAGGCAGCTTTAGTCTCGACCCCAAAGGGGCTAGTGGGGGGTTTCTGCAGCGTGGGTCCCATCCCAGGTTGTCGCGGCCAGAGCCACAGGATGGGCCCCCAGTGCACTGCTGGTGGGTGGCAACATAGAGGGAAAGGTGAGCTTGCAGGCGCCTGCTGAATGAAGAGAGCAGGACAGACCCCAGCTGCCCCAGGACAACGCTCCAAGGAGAGAAACACTGAGCAGAGGTGCAGCAGGCGGGCGGGGCCCTCTGGTCCAGAAGGACTTGGCATGCGGTGACCACTTAGTGCTGTCTGCTCTGTTCGTGACACTTTTTGCTCTATTAACATAACACCAATAACAGCAGTTCTTATTGCTATTAGTTTTCTTGACTTGGGTGAGCTGAAGCTTTCAGGCAGATGCTCTGAGCCCCGTGGACAGACAAGGAAGGAGGTCTGGTGGGGTAAGAAGCATAACCCCAGGCAGGCGTCTGGCTCTCTGGTGCCTGCTTCCTCGTGGTTCCCAGCATCCCGGCCCCCACAGCCATCCCAGCAAACATCCCGTCTCCCGTCGGTCTGAGAGCATGGCCTCGCCCTGCCATGAGGGGAGGTGGGGTGTGGAGGCCTGGCCCAGGGCCCACCTGGGGACATGGGGGTGGTGCGGGGGGCGGGGGCAGCTGAGTCAGGGAGCTGCCATGGTGAGGGGCAGCCTCCACCTACCCACGGGGCCATAGCCGCCGGGGAAGGAGGCTGCTGGGGGCGAGGCGTGGCCCGGCCTGCCCTCCATCTTCTGCCTCCCTTCCTGCTGCCTGGTGGGCCTTGAGCCAGCGAAGTGCCTGGGTGGCTGCAAGTGCGCCATGCCAGGGGATGTTTCAACAGTGTCCAGGCTGCCAAGTGCACATTATTCTCTTACAGAAATCCAGTGGATTGCCCAGGAGACATGATATTTTTGTAGTAAAAAAAGAATAAAAAGAAAAAGTTCTCCAAAGCTCTAACAGCCCCATTGTGCCAGGAATGATAGTTGGTGTTTAAGGACCTGTGTTCTTCCTCAGAGAGCAGATAGGGACCCTGAAATTGCTGTTCGTTTGCTTCACTCATTAAAAAATTTAAGTTGGACGGCCCTGGGACATTCCAGGTGGAAGGGACAACTTATGCAAAGGCAGAGGGGCAGGTAAGAACACATTTGACGGTTTCAGAGAACCCCAAGCTAAAGATAAGGACTCTCAGTTGTAATTGTTAGAAATTTACTTCAAACTGGCCTAGACAAAGACAAGATATTAATTGGTTCATGTGATTGAAAGAACAAAGGATTGTCAGCTTCAGGCATGGCTGGATCTAGGGGCTCAAACAGTGTTATAGGATATAATCTTCCTCCATCTCTTGGCTCTGCCTTCCTTGACATCTGTCACTTGCTGACCCAGTCATTTCTATTCTTACTTCTTCCCAGCCTCAAAACCAGTGGAAAGAAAGGAGTTTTCTTTCTCAATAGTTCCAGCAGAAGTCCTGTGGCTGACTTTTGTTGAGCTGACTGGGGTCACGTATCCACCTCTGGCTGGGCAAGCCTGGTCCATAGTTCTTTCTCTGAAGTATGGACCTTGCTCAAACCATATGTTTGGATTGGCTTAGAATGTAAGTCACATGGCTGTGTTCCATCTTCTACTTTCCTCACAGTCTTATTTCTCCTTCCGGCCTCTGTCTGTAGCCTTGACCACGCTAGGGAGCCCCTGGGCTCTATTTTCAGTCTCCACCATGTTCCTCCCGTGCGACTGTAATAGCACACACAAACTGAATCCTTACAGCACAACAATACTGTGAACAGGTGACGTTACTACCCTCGTTTTATAGGCAAAGAAACTGAGGCAGAGAGAGGTTCATTCCTGAACCAGGGACTAGAGTCAGGAGCACTTGGAGCTCTGACTGGCCATATGTGAGCCACGCACCCAACCATGGAGCCGGGATGTGGGTCAGCTGCAGCTGAGCTGCATAGCCAGCAAGGGGGAGGGTCTCTCCAAATAAAAACCGTGTGGGGAAAAGGGGGGAATACTGTGGATTGGGAGAACCAGAAGATGCCTCCTAAACAAATAACAAATGATGGTAATCCCATTTGGACCCATTTAGGGGAAAAGAGAGCTGCGCTCTCTCAGGGACTACAAAGTAAATTTGAACAGCCAAATCGCTGCAAGAACAGGGATGTGTCTGGCCTTCAGGAACTGCTGGAACTGGGTGCTTACACTGTCAGAATATTTGGACTCTCACGGGGGACTTTCCTCCTTTCTACTTCAGTGTTTCCAGTCTCAGATTCCTAGAGAATGGCTTTGATTGGCCAATTCTAGCTCACACGATCATATTGGACCAATCAGCTTTGTCCGGAAAGGTGGGACCGCAACAAGACAAGATACCGCCTACAAGAAAGAGGAGGTTGAAGCTGCGGGAGTAGCCAGCAGTGGTTTATAGGAAGAAAGTGGAGTAGAGTGTAAGTCAGATAAACATACAGGTGTCCCTTGAGGGCGAACGTGATGTGTGTGTGATGCTTATAGTTGTCAGCAACAGAACATCGCATTGCCTGGCTTCACCACAGGGAAGTCCTCAAGGCTGGTGATTGCTGGTACAGAGGTCACCTTTCTCTCGCTTTGCTCAGTAACTACAGTGTCAGCTTCATCCTAAGGCAGGTGCCCTCCTGGCCGTAGGTGGCTCCCTGTAGCAGTCACCTAACAAATAAGAAGAGAAGGAGGGGCTCTTGCATAGCCACAGGTAGAAGTTCCTCCCTTCCAACTGAATGGACCTACTTACTGGTCACATGCCACCCTGGACAAGCACCCGCCACCCCCCAGAGCGCCCCAGACTTAGGCTTGCACTCCTGAGCCAGCCTTGTGAGGAGGATGTGTGGCCACGACGGCCTTCCCCTTCTCAGGACCCGCCCTGCAGCGCAGGGCTATTCTAAGAGACTAGATCCCCCACCAAAGCGTGCGGGGCGGGATGCGTCCTCAACTGACAGCCTCTGCCTCTGTCGCGCAGGGGTCCTGTGGCTGTCGGTGGTCTCCGAGGTGCTCTACATCCTCCTGCTGGTGGTCGGCTTCAGCCTCATGTGTCTCGAGCTCTTCCACTCCAGCAACGTCATTGACGGGCTCAAGCTCAATGCCTTCGCGGCCGTGTTCACGGTGCTCTCAGGTAAGGCAGAGGCCCCGGGCGGGAGCAGAGACAGGCCATAAACAACCCTGTGCTTAGAGCAGCAACACAGTGGCCCCCAAAGCCACCCTGGGGCTAAGTCCCGACTGTTCCATCGGGATGACCTTGGGCCAATCACTCCTCTTCTCTGCGCCTCAGTGTTACAACGTGTAAAATGGGACTGTCTGCCCACTTACTCACTCATTCAGCATGTGCTCATCGCGTGTCTGTCATGTGCCAGGCCCTGTGCTGCTGAGTCCTGGGTTATAATCGTGAACGGGGGACAGGCAGGCCCGTGCCCATGGAGCTTAACGTGTGGGTCAGAGGGAGGGGGTTGGCCTGAGATGCACTCAGGAGATGAAGGTCCTCGGCCTGGTGGTGGAGGGCACGTGTGGCACGAGGGAGAGGGAGGTGGCCGTGAGAATGGGCGGGCGTGGCGCCCCTCACAGGGATGTAAGGGGAGCCTGTGCGGGGCAGAGGGCCCTCTCTGCCTCAGGGTGTCTGCCCGTGGGGCAGCCACGTGGGGACGCCCAGCAGGAAGCCAGATCACCCAGAAGCTCAGGGGCGATCATGAGGCAGGGACTGTGGGCAAATGCCACTGAGCCCAGGATTCTGAGGGTTTTAGGAACAATGGGATGGTCGGTGGCATCACATAACCCAGGGAAGAGGAGATGGCGGACTCCAAGAGAAAACCGCTGGTGCAGGTGGTCAGGTGCCCGGAGTGGTGTCCCCAGATCCAGGTCCTGAGGGGTTGAGTGGGAGGGAGTCAGAGGGAAGGAGGGAGCCGGGGCCCTGACGGCAGCGCCCGGCGGCGGACTAGTGGCCTGGCTCCAAGACGTCTGTTCCTGGCAAGCCCCGTATAAATGGAATTTCTATAAATCCAATCCTGCTCTTCACACACCGGAAGAAATCTCTGTTTAATGAAACGGAAGCGCTGAGTCTTTGGTAAGGGAAATAATGGCTCCCTAATCGAAGTGTATATATAAGAGGTAGCTCTGGATTCAAGGAATTATAGCACATTTCACAGATCAAAATATGTGTACCTGTCATTCCCAGCATGTGAGAAATCTAACCATAATAGTAAAGGAGAGAAAAAAGAAAAGAAAAGAAAAATACAGTGACCCTCATAGCACAGTATTGGTCTTGGCTCCCAGTTACCTCACTCCCAGCTATTGCAGACAGAGAACCTGTTTATTCTTTTTTCCTCTCTCGTTTGTTTGCTGAGACATCATTTACTGAATCTGGTTGGGCACCAGGCACCGCACTCGGTTAGAGAGAGTCAGAGGAAAACGAAACTTTGGTGCTCGCCCTCCTGAACTTTGCAGTCTGGTAAAGGGACGGACTCACTGAACAACCGCAGCACAATGGGCTGGCCTCTGTGTGCCCGGCGTGGTGGATCTTGGTGGGGGGACCCACGTTGGCCCTGGGGGTGGGAATGGGTAGGCAGGGCAGGGGAAAGGCACCACTTGAGCTGAGACTGGAAAAACTGTGTTTGCTTGATGGACAACTTGGGGCAGAGGGAGCAGCATGGACAAAGGCCTGGTGAGGTGCCATGTCCTGGCAACTTCGGGGAGAACGGAACGGCCGGGACAGACAGTGGGGAGAGAAGGAGTGTTGGGAGATGAGACTGGAGAGCTGGGCGAGGGTCCTGATGCTTTGCAGTGGTTTTGCCAGTGGCTTCTTCTTTCCTTTCCCTTCCCTTCACTCAACATCCACGAACCTCCTGCATTATCCCAACCCCTCAATCAGCTTAGTCCAATCACAAAATAAAAGCTGGTGGGTGGTCCAAGGCAGCCACCTCCAGTTCCTCAAGGGCCTCTTGTGGGGGGAGGGGCCTCTTCCCCCACCTCGAAGGGCTTATCAAAGTTTCCACCTGATTATGAGGAATGAAATTGAAGCAGTAATCAAATAACTCCCAACAAACAAAAGCCCTGGACCAGATTTCTTCACGGGTAAATTTTACCAAACATTCAAAGAACTAACACCTTTCCTTCTCAGACAATTCCAAAAAATTCAAGAGGAGGGAGAACTCTCAAGCCCATTTCACAAGGCCAGCTTTATCGTAATTTTAAAACCAGATGAAAACACTACAAAGAAATAAATTATAAACCAATATTCCCGATGAACACAGATGCTAAAATCTTTGGCAAAATATTAGCAAACCAGATCCAGCAATATATTAAAAAGAGCGTACCCCATGATGAAATGGGATTTATCCTGAGAATGCAAGGTTGGTACAATATTTGCGAATCAGTAAATGTGATACACCACATGAACACAATGAAGGATATAAACCACATGATCATATCAGTAGATGCAAAAAAAGCATTTGATAAAATCCAGCACCCATTTATGATTAAAAAAACTCTCAGCAAAGTGGGAGTATAGGAATTATGCCTCAACATAATAAAGTCCTTATATGACAAACCCACAGCCAACATCATACTCAATGGGCAAAAACTAAAAGCATTTCCCTTAAGATCAGAAACAAGACAGGGATGTCTGCTCTCACCAGCCCTATTCAACACAGCATTGGAAGTCCTAGCCACAGTGATCAGACAGAAGGAAGAAATAAAAGGCATCCAAGTTGGAAAGGAAGAAGTAAAACTGTTATTGTTTTGCAGATAACATGGTACTATATAGACAGAACCCTAAAGATTCCACAAAAAAAAACCCCAAACTACTAGAACTGATAAATGATTTCAGTAAAGTAACAGGATACAAAATATATATTCAGAACTCAATTGCATTTTTATATACCAATAATGAACTATCAGAAAAGGAAACTAAGAGAACAGTCCTACTTACGATTGCATCAAAAATAAATAAAATACCTAGGAGTAAATTTAAACAAGGGTGTAAAAGACTTGTACTTGGAAAATTATAAGACATTGAAGAAAGAGATTGAAGAAGCTACAAATAAATGGAAGGAAGCATATACTGTGTTCATGGAGAATTAAAATGTCCATACTACCCAAAGCAATTTACAGATTCCACACAATTCCTTTCAAGATATCGATGTATTTCATAAAACTAGAACAAATATCCCGAAAATTTATATGGAATCACAAAAGCCTCAAATAGCCACAGCAATCTTGAAAAGAAGAACAAAGGTAGGGGAATTATAATTCCAGATATCAAACTGTACTACAAGAGCATAGTAATCAAAATAGCACGGAAGTGGAGTAAAATCAGACACACAGATCAATGGAAGAGAATAGAGAGCCCAGAAATAAACCCACACCTTTATGGTCAATTAATATTTGAAAAAGGAGGCAAGAATAGTCTATTCAATAAATGGTGTTTAAAAAATTGAACAGATACAGGCAAAAAAAAATGAAATTAGACCACTTTCCCACATCATACACAAGAATAAACTCAAAATGGATTAAAGACTTAAATGTTAGACTCAATACCATAAAAATCCTAGAAGAAAATATAGGCAGTAAAATCTTGGGCATTGCTCATAGCAATACTTATCTGATATACTTCCCCAGGTAAGAGAGACAAAAGACAAAATAAGCAAACGGACCTTTATCAGACTAAAACTGTTGCACGACAAAGGGAACCATGAACAAAATGGGGAGGTAACCCACTGAGTGGGAAAACATACTTGTCAATGACATGTCTGATAAGGGGTTAATATCCAAAATTTATAAAGAACTTATACAACTCAACACCAAACAAAACAAAATGAAAACAAAAGAAATCCAATTAAAAAAATGGACCAAGGACCTGAATAGTCGCTTCTCCAAAGATGTTATACATATAGCCAATAGACATGTGAAAAGATGCTCAGCATCACTAGCCATCAGAGAGATGAAAAGTAAAACCACACTGAGCCATCACCTCACACCTGTCCCAACGGCCGTCATGAACAAATCAACAACAGTAAGCACTGGTGAGAATGTGGAGGAAAGGGAACCCTGGTGTGCTGATGGTGGGAATGCAGACTGGCGCAGCCAGTGTGGAAAACAGGATGGTGACTCCTCAAAATGTTAAAAATGGAACTGCCTTATCACCCAGTGATTCCACTTCTGAGATCCATCTAAAGAACCCTGAAACACTGATTAGAAAGAATATATGCACCCTCATGTTCACTGCGGCGTTATTTACAATAGTGAAGCTATGGAAGCAGCCCAAGTGCCCATCAGTGGTGAGTGGATAAAAGGAATATGGGACATTTGCACAGTGGAATACTACTCAGCTGTAAAAAAAAAAAAGGAGAAGAAAAACCTTACCTTTTTCAATAGCATGGATGGACCTAGAGAGTATCATGCTAAGTGAAATAAGCCAGTCGGAGAAAGACAAGCACCATATGATCCCACTCATTTGTGGAATCTAATGAACAAAATAAACCAACAAACAAAACAGACACAGACTCATAGACAAGAGAACAGACTGACAGCCACCAGAGGGGGGGGGTGGTTGAGGGCCTGGGTGAAAAAGATGAAGGGATTAAGCAAAGAAAAAAATAGTTTTCACCCCTCAAAAAATACCCAGTTTCCTTCCAGTGGGAAGTCCTACTGCTAAAGAAAATAAGATTGTCTCTAAATTCAGGCAGGTATAAAACACAGGACTCGGGAGGTTAATTGACTCGCCTAAGGTCACACAGCTGGTCAGTGGTGGCACCGGGATTAAACCCGACTCCTGCTGGCTTCAGAGCCCTGTGTTCTTTTCACAGGATCAGAGTGACCGGGCGGGCGGGAGGGAGCAGACTTTTAAGTCCTCAGGAAACAGTAACTGAGAAGTGTGCAGCAGCCGGATGATGTAATAAGACAGAAGGAGCAGGAGGCGGAGAGAAGGAATTTTGTATTCACGCCTGGGAGAAAATAAACCAGGGAGAAAGGTGACACCGGCAGAGAGCCAGGCCCCCGAACTGCCTGCCATGGAAGAACTGGGAAGCCCACCTTTTGGGAGCCCCTTGAGAACAGGGCAAGGGGGCTGAGGGTCTGCGGGGAGGTGGGTGGGCTTCTGGTTTGCTGCTGTGGGAAGGGAGGGAG